AAGGAACATCACACTTGTTTCTTCCCTCCTTCGAATCCAGCATCCAAGGCCTAGCTTCTGGCCCCTCCCTTCGAATCCAGGAGAACTCAGGGCCACCACTCAAGGTCCAACTCACATTCTAGGCTGAAGCAAGGTAAGTTACTCTTACCCTTGAATCTTTCGTTCCAGGCATAACATGTGAGTAATTTTCTATTTCGTTTCAAACATAACATTCTTTGGTTTCCACCCTTTTAAATTATTTTCTTTGCTAACCCTTTTAGTTTTTCTTCTTGCTTTATTAAATATGCTTTAAGGACTAACTTGGCCATAAGGAAATGCTAGCATGGCCTTAGACTATGTTTCTATTTATAAACTTAAATGAAAGAAATAGGAGACAGGAGCATGAAACAAAGTCTTTGCTTCCACACTGACTTCCAGGCCCAACCAGAGGCACGCTCACACTGATTTCACTGGCCCAATCAAAGAAGGCAACAAGGCAGAAAGGCAGAATCAGAAGGCACACCCTGCTGACTTCCAAGCCCAATCGAAGGCCATGACCTGACTGATGCCAGCCCTAATCGAAGGCCATGACCTCACTGGTGCCAACTCCCAATCGAAGGCCATGACCTCACTGGCGCCAACTCCCAATCAAAGGACATAACCTTGCTGAAGCCAGCCCCCAATCGAAGGAGGTCAAGAGAAGCAAAATCGAAGGATTCTCCACCCCTCAATCGAAAGAGCTCACTTTCCTTCTTTTTATTTTATTTTTGCCTTTATATTTTTATGCACTTCAATATGGTTGTAATAGTGTAGGTTTATTTTCTGCATTTTTTATTACTTTAGTACAAATGCTAGTAATTAGGTGTGTATGGAAAGATAAAAACCAACAAGTAGACCATCAAAAATCAAAGACAAAATGCATGCAATCAAACACACTTTGCACACATGCACCCTTAGGGTAATCTCCCTTGTTGCCTCGGAAAAATAGTCATGTCCCTCGAACATGTGCGTTTTAGAAAAGACCTTCGATAAAAGATTGTAGTCCCCGATGACCCTCGATGTTGCCTTCGGTAAAAGATCTAGTCCCTAAACGACATTGCTAAAACGTTCCATAGGTTTTTTTCTATGAAAATACAAACGTCCAACACCCGTCCCTTCACATCCAACGATGGAGCTTATTACCAAAACAATGGTAAGATAGCAACATTTAAAGGAGGAGGAAAAGAACATATAAAGACTTTTGAGTAGGTAGATTACTCCTAGTTGCTCGCTTGCTCACAACAAAAACATTTTATACACCAACACTTTCATTTTGAAACATTTTCAAAATAAAACGCTTTGTACGCGTTATTATAGAGCCAAGAACCATTAGAAAGACACCCTTTTCAAAATCACTTTCAAAAACACATTACACAAACACTTATTTGAACTATTTTCAAACAACACTTCGTATGCATTCTTATGAGACAATAATCATTACAAAGGCAAGTTTTCAAAGTACTTTCAAAAATCACACCACAAGAACACTTTCAAACAAAAGCAAGTGATCTAGAAAAGAACTAAGAGCCTGTAGATAACTACGGATGAAAAGAGTGTTAATACCTTCCCTTTTCATAATCTACCCCCCGAACTCAGAAATAATCTCAAAGGTCTTTCCTGTTCTTTTCAACCTTTCCTTTTAGATAAAAGAAAAGTCGGTGGTGATTCTTGCTAACCGTAGCATTTGTGATAAAATACAAAACACCCAAGTCAGTTCTCTCACTACGTTACAAGGTTCTATGAGGAAATGATATCGAAATAACATGTTGTGACATTGTGAATTTATGGATAAAATTAACAACATATGGTGGTTTCTAATTATGAAAAGGCTAGTGAAGATCAGAAGATCACATATCTCTTAGAAGTTTATTGGGAAGTCTGAGAGAATTTATTTTCCTCTATAGATTTTAAAAAGACTCCTTGAGGGTCTATATTATGAAGATGTGTCACAAATGTGATATTTTGTAATCTTAGTATATGTCACTAAGTCTAAGTGAAATAAAAACACTTAGAATCCAATATGAACAAGTGGATAATCTGGTGAAGCATCCCTGATTGGTGGGAGAAGATGTGTTGATCACTGAAATAAGAAGACAATGTCTGACTAAGTGTCAGGACATTATACAGGACGTGTTTTTGCATGGTCAACATAGGGTGGAGTGGCCTATGTGTTGAAATACGTGGTTGTAAACAGGAGGAGAAAAATTTGTCTGACTATGCATATGAAGTAGCTATAACATTCAAAGCCAGTATGGATGGTGCACATTGATATTTGAATTTTCCTCCTCAAATATCGTTTCTTTTGACCAAAATTGGTGCTACAATCTAGAATCGTTACTTTCCAAGTGAAAATACTAGTTATTTATAGAGAGTTATACGTATCTATGTAACCCTGTGAGCTCCTTGAGTCCATAATTTTATGGCTTTTATTCAGGTTTGGGTAAGTTGTGCTTGGGTCTGGTATTGTGAAGGTCTCCTTTGCCAAGTTTTGACTAAAAAGGGAGAGAAAGGTGAATTAGCTCAGATGCTGATAATTTCACAAGTGGTTATTATTAATGTTCACAGATGTCAAAATAAGATGTTCGATCCTATTTCTGTGACATATATTTGTGACTTGTGATCCAAGTTATGAACACAGTTGTGACATGCGCTCTAAGTTATCAGGGGCGGTGGTTGATTTGGTCTTAAGGAATTATTTAGAGTTCATTTATTCCACCATTGGTCTTCTATGTTTAGAATATGTTCCTGCATTGAGGGGTAGTACAAGTTGTCTTCTTCTATCTTCTTCCTCGTGTGCATCAACCAAACTTCAGGACTTTCCTTCCTTTTATCTTGAAGCTGATGTTCGTAGGTGTTGATGCAATTGAGTTCTCCAGAGTGCTGCAAAGAAGATGTCGAACAAGATTTTGAGACACTATTTTCAACTGAAGATCTATTGTTGTGTGTAGTAGCTTCTGAACACTACTGATGAGGGTTATATTTTTGTATTGCTGTAATCTCGTAGATTGCAATTGTTTTTAGATTATTTGTTTTAGCCAAAATTTGTCAAAAGCGGAGATTGTTAGTTCTCTTGTTTTAGGACTGACTTAATTTTTGTAAAACAAATAATAGCAGCAATAATATAATGTAGAATAGGATAAGAAGAACAGGTACAACAAGAAGTCCTATTACACTGTCAGAACATGTTGTGTTGAACTTTTTCAACAACTGGAACAACGTGTCGAAGGAGATGTCTTAACATCGCGCCTGCTGAGCTGGATTAATGAGATTCAGTTTGTTCTTAATATAGACAGGATATTCAGGAGAATGTTATGCATCCTATGTGGCGCATATTTAAAGATCTAGAAAATTCAATCAGAAATCAAGGAGAATGAAGACTTTCTAAATAAGGATATTATTTAGGAAAGTAAAGATTGAAGACCTTTCTTGGGACAGAAGTTTCTGCATTTTGTTACAGCTGATTTGTTGTGATTGAAGGCCCAAAACCAGTTGGGTAACAGATTATAAATAGAAGGGTTTGTAACCTAGAAAAGATACGGATCAAGATGTAGAAGTCTAGGGTTTTGTCAAGGTAAACCTCTTGGGTTGTGAGAAGGTTACCAAGTTTACCTCGAAGCCTGTAGGTAAGAGGTGTATTGTTCTTGGAGGAAGCTTTGAAACAACTCCAGGATGTGTTCTTAGTTAGGAGCAGAGCTAACAAACAGTGGAGTTTGGCTTTGGAGACTTAGCTAGGTTGTCATGGAAGTGTGTCTTCTAAACTGTCTATCTGTGTTATCAGAATCTTGGTGAAGGGTCGTCTATGCAGTGACTGAGGTGTTGATTGCTAGACATCATTGCGATGATTGGAAGTGGGATGGAGATATTTCATATCTAAGGAGGACCTAGGTAGAAGGGTCATTGGATGGTGATTAAGTGCGTAGATCGTCAACGGGTGTGTTGATTGTAGGATCTGCAAATTGATACTGCTGATAGGTGTTGTTATACATCAAATTGGGTAAACAATTCTGGTGTATTCTTTATCTTTTCAGTACTGTTTTATCTTACCTGTGTCTTTATGTCAGATCAGATGTTTCAACATTTTTATAGGACATCTGAATCTGCTGTACCAGAATTTCATAAATCAGATACATTCTGCTGATATGAGCTGCTCTGTCCAACTAAACATTTCTGAACAACAGAACTGGGGTCCAAGTATCAGCTCAACTAATACCCCTCCCAAGAGGCTTGCTAATTCAATTCCCTTGAAGAGATATCTACACGAGTTCTTAACAAAGAGTTTTTTAACAAAGAGTCTGACTGAGCAACTTCTTTATAGTTATGTCATTTATTAAAAAGTTCCAAGCAAACAGCTTGTTGTTTAACAAGGATAATAAACACTTATTAGCTATATCAGCTAACTTTGGATTATTGAATCATTTATGATTCTTGATTTGATACATCCTAAATTATACTGATGTGGTATAATTATTTTGCATTGAATTTATTCATTTACAATGAAATGATATGTCCTAAAATAAAATGATACATCTTAAGATCAAATATGCATTTTTCTGCATGCATTGTAATTCTTTTTTTTATATACATTGTCTTGGTATGCACCGAGATGCAATTTTATGCATGTATTGAAATGTATTTTTCAATATTTATGCAATGGATTAATACAAAATATGAGGTCCGAAGTTGTGTGCATAGGAAGTAGAAAGTGTGAGACATATTATTGATAGTCTAGTTGTAATTGTCCTACTTGTAACTTGCAATAAAGGGCATCCAAAACCCAATCATTTTTTAAGCAAACCTTTCCACATTGGAATTTTGAAACCATAATAAAGATCCTATATGATGTGCACGCAAACAACTAGTACAATTACAACAACAAACATAGAAGAAGAAGAAGAAAAATCCTTCAATCAACAACTATCACATACACAATAACCCGTTATAAGAATTGCTAGCTATCATCAATATAGAGTTGAAGCTTAACCATGGAAAAATATGAGATAATTAAAGATATTGGATCAGGAAACTTTGGTGTTGCAAAGCTTGTAAGAGAAAAATGGAGTGGCGAATTCTATGCTGTTAAGTTCATTGAAAGAGGCTTCAAGGTTACACTTCTCTTCCCTTTCTATGCTTTTTTATAATTACTTTGGAGACCCTTCAATTTATTAATGATGTTTTTTTCCATTCAATTCCATAGATTGATGAACACGTGCAAAGGGAGATTATAAATCACAGGTCCTTGAAACATCCCAATATTGTTAGGTTCAAAGAGGTATATAAACATGTGTGTCTATTGTCATTATGCTAATTCAAGAAATTTCAACTGGAAAATTTTCAATTTATGCTAATTCGATTTATTGCAGGTGTTGCTTACTCAAACTCATTTAGCAATTGTGATGGAATATGCTGCTGGTGGAGAACTGTTTGAAAGAATATGTAGTGCTGGTAGATTCGGTGAGGACGAGGTAGTTTATTACAATGTTTTGTTGCTGATTATGATTGTGATTTTTACAATAAGTCATTATGTTAATCAACTTTTTAGATTTCATGCAATATTACTATTTCACATTCTAGATAATTTAATCTTAATTTTTGTTCCATGTGTATAGGCAAGATATTTCTTCCAGCAATTGATTTCTGGAGTTAGCTATTGCCATTCAATGGTATCATTCTTCACCAATCTGATTCTGTTTGTTTCTGTCTCACTACTTTAGCTCAACATGAAAGCTATGATTTTCTTGCAGGAAATTTGCCATAGAGATCTTAAGCTAGAAAACACACTTCTAGATGGAAGCTCCGCACCACGCCTCAAAATATGTGACTTTGGTTACTCAAAGGCAAGAACTAATTACTTTATCTCTTAAATTTCATTTAACATATGTTTCATCCGAAGCACAGACACAACATTAACACTGATATCGATACTGATATTAATTTAATAATATGGAAAAATATTGATTGTATCTGACACGTCTTCAATATGAAGCGAAGCGAGAGTACTACATAATTTCATCGGACTATTGTTAATTAGGCACTATTTTGATGTGTTTTTCAGTCATCTGTTCTGCACTCCCAACCAAAATCAACGGTCGGAACCCCGGCTTATATTGCACCAGAGGTCTTATCAAGAAGAGAATATGATGGAAAGGTAACTATTAACTAACTTAATCAAGCTAATTAAAAAATTTATTCTTTTTAAATTATGTAAGCGTGTGGTTTTATTCATTTGGAACTAAAATTTAGTCAACAATATGTTATGTTCTTATTCTTAAGAATGATTAGATTGCAGATGTTTGGTCTTGTGGGGTGACTTTGTATGTGATGCTTGTTGGTGCTTATCCTTTTGAAGATCCAGAAGACCCAAAAAACTTCAGAAAAACACTTCAGGTTAGTAAACTAATCAATAATTAATTTTCTATAAAGTGTCCCTAGTGTAATATACATAACCAATCATGAAATTTATTAATTTATTTTTGGATTATTTTGACAGCGAATTCTTAGTGTACACTATTCTATTCCAGACTATGTCCGCGTCAGTCAAGAGTGCAGACATCTTTTATCAAGAATATTTGTAGCCAATCCAGAGAAGGTACAAACAATTATTTGTGTTGTTTGCATTACACAACATTTTAAACTAGGATGTTCAAAATTTTAAATTGCAATTACATTATTAATGATGCAGAGAATTAGCATACCAGAGATTAAAATGCACCCATGGTTCCTAAAAAACTTGCCACTAGAATTCACAGAGGGTGAAAATAATAATTTACAAACTAATGAAAACGATTCATCATCACAAAGCATAGAAGAAACATTGTCCATAATTCAAGAAGCTAGAAAAGCAGGTGATGGTCCAAAAGTGAGTGAGCAGTTTGTTGGTGGCAGTATGGATCTTGATGATATAGATGCAGATGTTGACATAGATGACATTGAAACTAGTGGTGATTTTGTTTGTGCTTTATGAATGATAATGATGATGTTTGCTATTCTTCCTTAAAAGTTGTTTTAAGATAACATCCTTAACAATGTAAGGAATCAAACAACAAACAAACAAAGAAAAGTAAGTTTCTTGTCTTGATCTTAGGTTAGTGGAGAATAATACTATAGTGTTGTTGATTTCTTGCTTTATTGATGCTTTTGTTGCACTTGCTATAAAAAGTCTAGTTTGTAAGATATGTTGTTATATAAAAGGCTCTTTTAATTAGAATTATATGCTTTTTCTTTTTTAATCTTTTTTAGTTTGGTGTGTTTTGTTTTCTTGTACGAAACTGTGGATTTTATGATATGATGACAGAATTAGAGTTGAGGAATCAAACGATCTATCGTTGTCATTCATAAGCATCTTAGGTAGAAGCACTAGTTGATAGTGTCATATGAATGATGCTGATGCATGCACCATGCTGCACGGTCATGAAATTAACTTTTTGAAATTAAAATAGAAGAACCATTTCTTTATAAATAACAATTTGTAAAAGTACTACTAATTTGAGGTATATTGAGCACATTTTAATTAGTCTCACTCAGAATCTTTAAAGTTTTAATTTGATATGTTGTTATCTAATAAACGTTAAATTTTATTTTCTCAAAAAAAGCTATTTTTGTAAACTAACTTAGTTTTTTCTGTTTCATTTTGTTCAAAAATGTTAACCTCATATTTATTGTACATCTTAGAATTTTGATATATTTAAGTTGAGATATCTATAGGTCTATGACAAGGTAATAACTCATGAATTAAGAACCTAGGTGACTAACTGGAACCTTGGTCTATCTATGTGTTGGGATCTTAAAAATGCTCGAGGTTGACATATAAGCTGGTCCATCCTATCTTGGAATGGTTGTCTAGATGTCGGGATCATGAAGGTACTCGGAACGGACATACACGTCGGACCGTGATAGAAGTCGAATTGACAGAGTACACAACCTATCAGTAACGTCTAAGAGGAAGCCAAAGGTCATACGGAGGTTACAAATGAACTGGATAAACCATTATAACTCAAAATCAATAGCAATTATGATGACGGCGGGCGTTATTTTAGGCATTCAATCCTGAAAAACATCTAACGGCACAATATTAATCAGTATTGAAAAAAGCTGATGATCTAAAGGGATGACTATATAAAGGAACAATGAAGCATGTGCTTGAGGAGGGAAAAAAACATTACCAACACCACTTTGATTAAAAACATTCCCATAAATTAATATTCATGCATTTGTGATCGATCTCACCTGACAAACGTCGGAGAGGTTATTCAACCGGTGTTCTTTACAGGAACATTTGACGTCTACCGTTGGGCCTTGTGACACCCCAAATTAATTCATGTGTTAAATAATTAGGAATTTAATTATTAAATTAATTAAAGGCTCAATTAATAATATTTTGGATTAAATGGATGAATTAATTATGGAATTAAAAAGGAAGACCGGGGGGTGTAAGGTTGAATTAGAGGTGTGTGAAATAAAAGGCTCTACTAAATAATTACTAATTTATTTCTATTATTTGGCAAATAATAAAAGAAAATAAAAAGAAGAATAAAAAGGAAAAGAAAAAGAAGGTTATTGGGAAAAACCATTGTATGTGAAAGTGGAGAAGAGAAGAGAAGAGAGGAAAAAGCCAAACGCCGTGAATTCGAAGGATCATCGCGAGGTAAGGGGTGATTTCAATTATTTAATATGCCTTATAGATTTTGAGATCAATAGAATTGATTAAGCATGTTAGGAATCTCGATTTTGGAATTCTAAGTTTGTGGGATTATCCCTAATTGTGTCAGATTATAGGAATTGGAACCATTAATGTGATGAATAATTAATAGGAATGATGGAAACATGATTTATGATGTTGCATTGATGTGTATTGGTTGCATTTTGGTGTTTTAAATGTTATAATTCGTATGGGTATGAATTGGATGAGATTGAAATGAATAATACTGTCAAAATAGCAGATTTTGACTCTGCAGGTCGTGGGAACCGGTTCCCAGTGGGGAGGAACCGGGTTCCACTGTGTAAACGTATAAAAACTGGCAAAATTGGTCGCAGGAACCGGTTTCTGTATAGGTAGGAACCGGGTTCCAGTACATTTTCCAGAAACGTAACTTTTTGAAAAATATTAAACTTTGAAAATTCATAACTTTCAAACCGTAAGTCCGATTTGAGTGCCGTTTTCGGCAGTATTTCTTAAATTTAAAATGCTATCTTATAAAATAAGAAAAATATTATTTTATGAAAATTATTTTAAAAAGAGTCGAATTCCCGATTTTTGTAAACTTGGTATTTTGAGAATGATGTAGAATTGTTTGTAAATTGTTCTGATTTGGTGAATGAGAACTGATACTTATGTGTTGTGCCTGCTATCCATTATGATTGAGATGTGATCATGTGATATATTGGTTTTGGCATTATTTGGAATTATGTTGTGATCATATTCCGTTGATTTGATGTTGACTTTCCGATTATGCGGTTTGTTATTATGTGCATATTTGGTGTATATGCAATGGGGTATCCATTATAATTGATTGTATCAGGTCCTTGTGGATGAAATGCGTGTTTATGCTGTTTGATGTGTGTATGATAAATAATGATATCATGTTTCTTTCGGTTTTGGTTCAGTTATGATAAATTGATGTATTTCATAGACAGATTTGATGTTGCATGCTGGTGATGTGCATGCATATGCATTATTTTGGTGAAGTTAAGTCCCATTGTGTGGAATTTGACTTGTATTACCGTTAACCGATACCCGGGTGATGATGGGTGGTTAGGCTGGATTCATGTCCGGTGTTTATGGACGAATCGATGGATTGCTGTATCCGATTGATGATGGATCAGCTGGATTCGTGTCCGGTGTTTATGGACGAATCGATGGATTGTTGTATCCGATTGATGATGGATCAACTGGATTCGTGTCCGATGTTTATGGACGAATCGATGGATTGCTGTATCTGATTGATGATGGATCAGCTGGATTCGTGTCCGGTGTTTATGGACGAATCGATGGATTGTTGTATCCGATTGATGATAGATCAGCTGGATTCGTGTCCGGTGTTTATGGACGAATCGATGGTTGCTGTATCCGGTTGATGATGAATCAGTGTTGGGTGACTTGGTCACGTGATTGGTACCACATGCATTGTGTCTGCATTTGTGTTTGCATGGAATTGTAACATGTTAGGATGTCTTCCAGTGTTACAATTCTTTGGTTGATTATTGATTTGTGCATAATGACTTGTATGATTGGAACTGTGTGTTGAATCGGAATTTATGTTAAAATGGGTGAAATAATATGCTTGTGATATAATGTTGATTGAGAAACCTATAATGCATGTTAATTATGAGAAATCTCACCCTTACTTTAATGATTTCAGATTAAAGTTAGCAGCTCAGGAGTTGGTGAGGATGGCTCTAGAGCTATGTTACTTTAAGTCCGCGTGTCAGTGTCGTGCTCTGATAGGTTGTAACACTGGGGGAAACGTTTGGATGATGAATTTTATTTTATACTCTATTGTTTAATTTATGTTGGGAATACTTATGAAGTGAAGTTATTCCGGTTTTGAGTCATTTCCGCTGTGTAGAACATGATATTGATTTGAATATTTATCTTAATAATTCCTTCAATAAAGCACGATAACTGTAAATTTGAGGTTTTTATATTTATCTTGAATTGTGACATCCTTGTTTTCCATGTTACTCTGATTTAATTAATATATTCGCGGGTTATTTAGAAGGGGTGTTACAGGCCTCGGTAAAACTTTCTCGGACCGCACAAAATTCAGAAGAATCATTTAGTCTTGCAACATTGTAATGTCTAGATTGTCGTCCAGCAACCCTCCTTCTGACATTATACAATTATAGACAGTCTTAGAGTCGCTACGATAACAAAATGAATCATTGCAGGATAGTGTTCATATGCTCTAGCGAACTCGGAGCCAACATGATGGGGAGGCAAAAGAGGAGCTTCTAGACCCTTAACCTTTAGCAGAGATGATATGGGATGATTGAGTCCCTGAAAACTTAAAGCTACCACCCTTGGCATCTTTCAATGGCAAGAGCGATCCTTAGGAGCACATCATTGCAATCAATAATCATATGGAAATTGTTGGCACCTCTGATTCTCTAAAATTCCAACTTATGGTGGTAAAGTTCAAAGACGTGGTCTTGTGATGGTATATGAGTTTACCCAGATTTTCAATCGTCAGTTATCAAGATTTGACCAAGAAGATGATGCACCATTTCTCTGCTAGTAAGCATAGAAAGGTATCGACAACAAGTTTGTTTAACGCCCGTCAAGGAGATTATGAGTCACTAAAGGAATATTTGGCACGATTCAACAAGGAGACCATCAAAGTTTCTCACCCAAATAATAAAATGTCCGTTGGAGAATTTCAACACATCGTAAAGGTAGATCACTTTAATGAGTCCTTAGCGTAAAAATCGAAAACCAACATAGATGAAGTGATAACCAGAGTTAAATGGTATATTAAGGGTGAAAAAGTATTATGGAGAAAAAATCTAGAGTTGCCAAGGAAAGGGTTCAGCTCAGACGTGATGGAATTAGGCTCAATAAAGAATATCACAAATTCGAAGGAAAAGACAAAATGGCAATTAAACCTCTGTGAAGGCCATACGAAGGCCCGATGAAAAGTTACACTCCACTTAATACAAAGCACAAATATATCACGTGGGAGGTTAATCTCCTTAGATTGCTCCCGAGACCATATTGTCCTGAGGGAGTTCGTGTCGTTTTGGGTAAAGATGAGAGCACATGGTGTACTTACCATCAGATCTGAGGTCATCACACTGAAGATTGCCACCAATTAAAGAAAGAGATCAAAATTTTGATCTAGAGAGGTCGCTTGTTGTCTTATGTGAAATACGTTGGCTCACCAGAAGGGAAAAGAAGTCATGCCCTACGAGATCCCAACTTGGAAAATACTTCCCAAAAAAAAAGGAAAAAACAACGAAGAAGATTGA